ATCAAGTCTGGACCACACAATCAAGTGATTTACAGCAATTGGGACAGGATGACATGTGTCAACCAAGTCAGCCAGCTTACCTCTTACAACAAGCATGGGTTGCAGAAGACCAGTTCTAACCCGAATCTTCACAGGTCTGTCTAAAATACAATCACAGAACTCGGCCCATGGCACTGCAGACATTGGTGGAGTTTGTCCAACCATGGTGACCACGGGTGCCATCATCCTGGTCAAATCTATCACCACCGTGTGTTGAGAGGAATTTGTCCAAATGACACCCATTTCACGTCAACACCACTGTCACCACTTTGTAACAGTCATCTATTTCATCACATGTGCAATACAATTGTGTTCCATGTGAAACTGAAACCTGTTTCACTCATTGTTAAACAAACTCACTGAGCCACTTCAGCTGGAGGCAGTGACCACGATGGCTACATAATGATAACAGACAGGGTACTCATCAGGGTGGGAGAGTGGGGTGGTGGGTGGTGGAGCGGAGCGGAGATGAGTGGAGTGGAAAGAAGTGGAGTAGAGAGGAGTGAGGCAGGTTGGGGAGCGGAGTGGAGTGGGATTGGGGAGTGGAGCGGAGTGGAGTGGAGGGGTGAGGTGGAGGGGGTGGGGTGAGGTGGAGAGCGGAGCGGGGTTTGGGAGCGAAGCGTCAAGTGGAGGGGGTTGGAGTGTGGTGGGGAGCTAGGAGGTGGAGCGGAGTGGAGTGGGTGGAGTGGAGTGGAGTGGAGTGGAGTGGAGTGGAGTGGAGTGGAGTGGAGTGAAGTGGAGCGGAGTGAGTGAGTGTTGGGCAGTTTTAACCAAGGTTTCAGCAGTATTACAGTTATATCATTGTATGACAGCTTAATATGGGAGGAAAGCGAAATAATGCTTATCTCAGGTGCTTACCCCTTGGTTGACACCCAAACAGGTTTGGTGCTAACAGATTGTAAAATATATTTGGGGCAAATTGTGATTTGAACCCAGGTTTTTGGTGTGCCAAAGGGATGAATTGTGGCAGTTTAGAAAACTGTGCAATTTGTGGCCACTCTCTACAGAGTTAGAGTGAGTGAGTGAGTTTAGTTTTACGCCACACTCAGCAATATCCCAGCTATATGGCAGCTATACCCAGAGCGTATTACTATATTACCCCTTCAGTCAGTCACTCTGATGGTCTAAATTCTTATTCAACAATAACAACAGATTTAACAGAACATGTCCACTTTGACAAAGCCAAATCAAATAAGGCTCCAACTTTTAAAATGTTTTCTTGCTCATCATAACACCTTGTAGATAACAATCACAGTACTTCCCCCAGTGTATATGGTACTGTGTAGGGAGTCAGTGTTGGTCTCGCTCTGATATTGTCACCTCTTTAACTGGCTCTTAAAGGGATTGTTTTGCCTCCAGGCATCAGGTGCGGGTCAGGGTTAGAGCAGGGGTGAGAGGGGGCAGGCCCAGTCTAGTGAATGAATGGGATTTGGTACAAGCTCAGATAAGGCAGGGCTTAGTTATCTGGGGCTGAGAAATGGTTATGTCCCTGGTGGTAGAAGGCTGGTTTGTTGGGGACTATTGTGGAACAAATTACCTGTCAAGACTTGAGAACAATGGCAGAGAATACCTGTGCTTCCCTGGTCCAACATGTTAATATCTATCATCTGAAGTATGCTGTAAGATTGCTACAAACTGTCCATGTCTTCAGCAAGAAACCATTTGACTCTTGCTTGTCAGAAAAGCCTTTTTCATAAAAACCAAGGTTTGTCTATTTTTATGATATAAAAGAAATTAAACTGACTGATGATGGAGCCCACTAAAGGCTCTAAATCTGACAGATGAATATAAGCTTATCTCAATGTTCAAGCAATCCAAAAGGAGACCAGAGATGTTTACAGGAACCTGTCACCATGGAAACAGGGAGCATAAGGTGCCAAAGGTTTTAAGCCAGTTCATAAGAAGTCCACATCTCAAAATGGTCAGTCAAGTTGATGAGCACATTATTCCAAGATGCTTGTGGCACCTGCTGACAGTTCCATCACAACTATTCATAATGCCATGTTATTGGCCACCGAGATAGACCCAGATAGCATTCAGACGTTTGCCCCTTGTTGGCAATGGTTTTGCCAACATTGCCAACGTTGGGCCAACATCCGAATGCTATCTGGGGATCTGTTTCAGGTCCGAGCATGCTTTGTTGATGAGATTATATTTCCAGGTATTTACTTTCCAAACTTTCAAGTTTAAATGGGTTAGTTTAGTGATTACAGCATTTGCTCATCAAATCAAGGACAGAGGTACGATTCCCACATGAGTGAGTGAGTGAGTGAATCCCAGAAATGGGCTTCACACATTGTACCCATGTGGGGAATGGAACCCAGGTCTTCATCATGACAAGTGAACGCTTTAACCACTATGCTACCCCACCGCCACAATTTCCCTCAGCCCAATTCTGGTGTCAACACTTTCAGACCACTGGAATATAGCTAAAAGTGGCATCCAACTCACTCACTCTAATTTTTATAACACAGCCTCCACAGGTCAGTCAAAGTGATAAAAAACACTAGTTGACTTAATATCATGTAGTTTCAACCAGAACCCATTGCTGACACTTGGACACAAGGATGAACACAAGCCCCACACCTATCAGCAGTGGCCAACACATCAGTCATCTGTCCAGCCAGCTTCTCTAGAGGCCTCTCACAGTACACAGAACTATCTCCAACAGTCATCAGTGGTCACATACTAAACCGGTTTAATGTCCCAGGTCAGCTGGGAGGTGAGTGCATAGTTGGAATGACCTCATAGGTGAGGTTGATAAGCTGGAGATTTATGACCCCCAAATAATGGGAAATGACAGTCTCCCAAGTCCACATTCCATCCAGCTGGAGATGAAGGTATGCAACTACAGGCAACACTATCAGCTTTACGGCAGCACTGATGGAAGCCGGATATAAAGCAACTGGAGGTTGAAAGGGGGGCTGATCTTGTGGGGATTACTGATGTGACATGAACATTTCCCCAGATTCCTTGGTGGTGACAGGTGCCCCACCCCCTACCACTACAGCCTACCTTTATCAGTTAGTGTTAAAGCTTCACAGCCTGTAATAACCATTCCTGGGTGGTGACAGGTGCCCCACCCCCTACCACTACGTCCTACCTTTATCACTTAGTGCTAAAGCTTCACAGCCTGTAATAACCATTCCTGGGTGGTGACAGGTGCCCCGCCCCCTACCACTACGTCCTACCTTTATCACTTAGTGCAAAAGCTTCACAGCCTGTAATAACCATTCCTGGGTGGTGACAGGTGCCCCACCCCCTACCACTACGCCGCCCCACCTTTATCAGTTAGTGCTAAACCTTCACAGCCTGTAATAACCATTCCTGGGTGGTGACAGGTGCCCCACCCCCTACCACTACGTCCTACCTTTATCACTTAGTGCTAAAGCTTCACAGCCTGTAATAACCATTCCTGGGTGGTGACAGGTGCCCCACCCCCTACCACTACGTCCTACCTTTATCACTTAGTGCTAAACCTTCACAGCCTGTAATAACCATTCCTGGGTGGTGACAGGTGCCCCAACCCCTACCACTATGTCCTACCTTTATCACTTAGTGCTACAGCTTCACAGCCTGTAATAACCATTCCTGGGTGGTGACAGGTGCCCCGCCCCTACCACTACGCCTACCTTTATCACTTAGTGCTACAGCTTCACAGCCTGTAATAACCATTCCTGGGTGGTGACAGGTGCCCCACCCCTACCACTACGCCCCTACCTTTATCACTTAGTGCTAAAGCTTCACAGCCTGTAATAACCATTCCTGGGTGGTGACAGGTGCCCCACCCCCACCACTCACGCCCTACCTTTATCACTTAGTGCTACAGCTTCACAGCCTGTAATAACCATTCCTGGGTGGTGACAGGTGCCCCACCCCCTACCACCACGCCCTACCTTTATCACTTAGTGCCACAGCTTCACAGCCTGTAATAACCATTCCTGGGTGGTGACAGGTGCCCCACCCCTACCACTACGCCCCACCTTTATCACTTAGTGCTAAACCTTCACAGCCTGTAATAACCATTCCTGGGTGGTGACAGGTGCCCCCACCCCTACCACTATGTGTCCCACCTTTATCACTTAGTGCTACAGCTTCACAGCCTGTAATAACCATTCCTGGGTGGTGACAGGTGCCCCACCCCTACCACTACGTCCTACCTTATCAGTTAGTGCTAAACCTTCACAGCCTGTAATAACCATTCCTGGGTGGTGACAGGTGCCCCACCCCCTACCACTCACGGCCTACCTTTATCACTTAGTGCAAAAGCTTCACAGCCTGTAATAACCATTCCTGGGTGGTGACAGGTGCCCCACCCCCTACCACTACGTCCTACCTTTATCACTTAGTGCTAAAGCTTCACAGCCTGTAATAACCATTCCTGGGTGGTGACAGGTGCCCCACCCCCTACCACTACGTCCTACCTTTATCACTTAGTGCTACAGCTTCACAGCCTGTAATAACCATCAAATCTTTCACTACACAGTCATTCACATGAACTATCCAGATTGGTTTTCAAGGCTTTCAATATACAGGACTCAACCTACCCCCTGATTTACTTGTATTAAACTGCAACTGATTTTGATGTTGGTGGTGTATATGTGAGGATAAATGGACATCCTTGTCAGACTGTTAGTGTGAGGTGACAGGGAGCTGTAGGAACATCACTCAGTTCATGTTCAAGATGTCTCAATAACTAATCTGGTAGCTGATTAATTAATTTTAACAGAAGTTGGCTGCTGATATATCATCCATATCTTTCCTGAGTTTACACTTCATTGCTTTTCATGATCAAACAGAATTTATATCTACTGCCACAGAATGAAGAAATACGGGTGAGTTAGGGTGAATGCTGCTTTTTGACTCATTGACTTTGGATTAGCACAAGGTGTATTTTAGCCATGATCAATCTCTAACATCAGGTGAGGATGCTGTCCCTGGTGTAAGTAATTGACACTCACCACAAGAGCAGCAGACAAAGCACTTGGTGTGGTAGAGATTGCCCATCGCCTGACACGCATCGTTAGCACCTGTCACCTTCTCCCCACAGGTATAGCACTGACCTGAAACAGTTGAAAACACCATTGTAAAACATGCTTTAAACAATCAATGAGACATGATGTCATACCAGTTTAAATTAAATCAACCTGACCATTGTCATAAAGATGTCAAATGTCAAATAATGCAGATGGTATATAAACATAAAAAACACACACAAACTGTCCACACTTCAACAGCAATAGAGAATAAAGTAAGTAACAGCAACATCGTCATTGCAGCTTAGAACAGTCAACAATGCCTTTGCCTTTAAAATATCAATTCCTACATACAGATGTAAACAATTTGTACAGGTCCAAATTTTACACTTTTCACTTTGGAGAGTGAGGTGAGGTGAGGTGAAATTGGGTTTAACGTCGTGCTTGAGAATATTTCGCTCATATGACGACGTGCATGCATGTGTATGTGTATGTGCGGCTGCTTGTACTAGCCCAGACTGAAGCTGGTTTTAGAGTGCTAGCCCACTGAGATACCATGCCGCAGTGAAGCATGAATACCCCACTCAGACACATTATACTGACTCTGGGCCGACCAGTCCTTGTTGTACCCATTAACGCCGAGCGCCAGGCAGGGACCAACAAGTACCATCTTTTGGTATGACGCGGTCGGGGATCGAACCCGCGACCTTCCTCTCTCCGGGCGGACGCTCTAACCACTACACCACGGAGGCGGTTACTTTGGAGAGTGAGGGAGTATGGTTCTACGGTGCTTTTTAGCAATATCCCAGGGTGGGGGACACCAAAAATGCTTTACACATCGTACCTATTTGGGGAATTGAACCCAGGTGTTCAGCATGGTGATTGGACGCTTTTACCATTAGGCTACCCAACCACCCAATTTTCACTTTAATCTTAACCATGTCATCATATCAAACAAATGTCCAAAACAATTTCTAAAATATGTCATCATATTTACAATTTTAAATGAATTCTGTGTAATACCACATCTGTGTCTCCTCATATTTGTATACTGTGTTATATATTTGTAGTTTATAGAATATTGCCACTGTTCCTTCATGGCATGCTATGCAATAAACATCTTATCTTATCTCATCTATGGTTATATAACATGACTATCACCTTCCCTGTTTTGATTCCATGGCAGTATGAACAATACACACCACTATGAGCACAAGCCCAAATAAAGTTTGTTTTTCATAATCCTGAACTTTGACAGTTTAGTAATGAGCACCATTGGAGTCAAATCAAGAAAGTGTCTCCAATGTTCGACTCATGATATTCCTAAGAACAAGATTCCACAGAAACTCATCCACACATGATTGGAGTGACTTGTTTCAAGATGACAATACATGACAACCCATCTCACTGACTGGCAGAAATCATAAACTTCCAACCATGGAATAAATGCATACTACAACAATCGGTCAAAAGCATTCCATGAATCGGTCAAAAGCATTCCATGCATCATACAATATTCCCATCTTCCAGAAGCAGCCAGGTCGCCCTGTTGACATTCACACATACACAGGACAGCTGGCCATGTTGCTCCAACATTCCACCAGTCTCCCCACATACCGCCCTGAGCGCAGGTCAAGCAGCTGGCACAATCAGGCCTAAAGAAAACAATGGCCAGTAAACCCCTACTTCCAGCGAGCCTCCACACATCTCTGTCATGTCAATCCTGGGAGCTTCCAGCAAGGTCATATATTGTGTATGGCTTCTCTGGTACTGCCAGATTGTCAGCTGTGGACACAGATCATGGAGACACCAGGAAGTCCGACACCAGGAAGTGAGTCTCCATGATAATCTCAGACAAACTTCATGGAATTGGCTTTTCATTTATTTTCACAGGTACTTGGTAAATCAGACATTTGGGATTGAATATGAAAGCAACGTTTAACGTTTGAGATTTTCATGTACGTGCAGCTATGTCTGTGGGATGTTTGTTCCCTATGTCAGTCAAGATGGTATCCTTGTATGCTTGGTTCTTGCACTGATAACAGGTAGAAGTCTATATGTTCCTTATGTCAGTCAAGATGGTATCCTTGTATGCTTGATTCTTGCACTGATAACAGGTAGAAGTCTATATGTTCCTTATTTGAATAGCAGTCAAAGGCACTCACTTTTCTTTATATTTAATACATGAATTGTTAACCATCTTACAACCATGCTGACAACAGTAAAACTATATTACTGGTATCCAACATGTAACACTCTTATAGATCATGTAACACTTGGATCCATCATGTAACACTTGGATCCATCATGTAACACTCTAATAGATCATGTAACCCTCTGGTCCATCATGTAACACTTGGATTTATCATGTAACACTTAGATCCATCATGTAACACTTGGATCCATCATGTAACACTTGGATCCATCATGTAACACTTGGATCCATCATGTAACACTCTTGTCCATCATGTAACATTTTATCCATGACAAAAACATATTTTTAGTTTGCTGAAGTTTACATCTGCCCCACCTCATCCTATCCAGATAGCGTAGATTGATGCTCATGCTCTTGATCATTGGATTGTCTGGTCCAAACTTGATTATTTATAGACCGCCGTCATATAGCTGGAATATTGCTGGCGTAAAACTAAACTCACTCACTCATACCGCCTCACTGTGTGTGTACAGATCATCAACATTGATAATTATAGAAGTTGAAATGGCTCATCCCAAACTGGCCCGGAGGCCACGTGACTATGGGTGATGATGTCCAGTGGTGAGGTGACCACTTCCTGCCACCGCTCACCTCAGGATACCAGAATGTCACATATACAACACAAACAGTTACACACTTAGCGTAATATTGACTGTGACGGACAGGATGTGAAGCATGTCGCCTGGCATTTCCACATCCATCAAACACAGGGCTACTGAACTAGGAACACTGGCATGCAGTAACTGAATAGGAACACTGAACCAGGAACACTGGCATGTACTGAATACATCATGTCATATCACCAGAACATGGCTACTGAACTAGGAACACTGGCATGTACTGAATACATCATGTCATATCACCAGAACATGGCTACTGAACTAGGAACACTGGCATGTACTGAATACATCATGTCATATCACCAGAACATGGCTACTGATACATTGCAACTATATAACATCAGCATGTGAGGTGAGGTGAAATTGGGTTTAACGTCGTGCTTGAGAATATTTCGCTCATATGACGACATGCATGCGTGTGTATGTGTATGTGCGGCTGCTGTACTAGCCCAGACTGAAGCTGGTTTTAGAGTGCTAGCCCACTGAGATACCATGCCGCAGTGAAACATGAATAATACCCCACTCAGACACATTATACTGACTCCGAGCCGACCAGTCCTTGTACCCATTAATGCCGAGCACCAGGCAGGGACCAACAAGTACCATATTTTACCGTCTTTTGGTATGACGCGGTCCGGATCGAATCCGCGACCTTCAGCTCTCCGGGCGGACGCTCTAACCACTACACCACGGAGGTGGTCACATCAGCATGTAAATAACTGGACCAGACAATCAAGTGATGAGCAAGGATCCATGTTTTTGGCCACAATGACACAATTCTAAACTGGGAAGACCTGGAATGACGTCAACTGGCAGCAACATTTTTAAACATAAAAAGTCAAAAACAACAACAAAAAAGATATGTTTGCCCATCCACAACCAACAGAGGCAGAAACATCCAGATGAGCTAGCATAACGTCCAATGGTGGCAAATGATCACAAAAAATGCAATGGATTCTGAAGATAAATAATAGAAACTTATAATAAATATCAACATCAAATATTTTCAAGAACTGAGTTGACTAACAGCAGTTGCATAACAAAATGGATCCACTGTATGATGGTCAGTTCAAATGAACATGTTTTTGTTTCATTATCTACCTCTGTAAGCAATAACAAACAAATATCATGACGGGTACACACTGTTTACATATCAGGAATAGACCACAGCCTTCTGTGGAACTAGGAAACACTTTAACCACTGAGCTAACCTACTGCCCTCAGCCACAAAGTAGTATCAGGCAGAAGAATCCCATGATAATCCCATCATGTCAGTGGTAGCAGGCTATATCCAGTTCCTTGACATTTATTCTCAACACAATTCCATCCCACTGAATGGCCAGGTGTCCTGGTCTCATGTCGTCTCCAGTAGTGGGCTAGTCTGTCTCACACTCCCTGAACCATATTATTGTACCTACAGCCTAGTCCTCCTGACTGGCTGACTGAGTTTGGTTTTACGCGGCTTTTAGCAATATTCCAGCAACATCACGGCGGGGGACACCAGAAATGGGCTTCACACATTTTACCCATGTGGGAATTTGAACTCGGGTCTTCGGCGTGACGAGCCAACACTTTAACCACTAAGCTACCCCACCGCCCCCCTAGTCCTCCTGAGGTGCTAAAGCACTAAAAGAAGCAAGTCTAGGTTTTCCCAGGTTGCTGGTCTCCTATTCACTTTAAATGGGTTTATTTGTTACAATCAAACTTATATATTCAAACAGTAGGCCAATCTGGCTTAAGCCATTATGATGACATCATGTCATGTTTCTGAAGTTGAATCTGTGCCAGGAATTCACAGGCCATTCTCAACATGCATGCTCAAGTAAAACTGATGCAATTATAGAATATTAACAAACTGATTGATAATTTACTCTTCATCGTACAGACTATGCAAGAAATCCTCAACGACTTTACCATTTAAGAAAAAAATGTTTTGTTTCACACATGGCTTCAACATGTGAAGCTTTTCATGTGTTCTCAGTCATGTGTTGCTGCAGCGATGCTGAAGAGTTGCTGAAGGCAACTGGAAACCTTTCAGACCATACTTCAGTTTAATATACGTTCATGTTGCAACATCTGCAGTTGACGAAGCAGTGCACATGGTGCAAGATGCCAAATTTCGTGATGTATGAAGACACTGATTCATTCCATTAGCCAGTAATCAAACCATCCCATGGCCCCCACCATCATCATCACCCCTCTTTAATGTCATCAATTTACCCTCCTGACCATGTGAAGCGAAACAGAAGCAA